TTTCCCATGGAATTCTCCCCTTTTCCCATGGAATTCTCCCCCTTTCCCATGGAATTCTCCCCCTTTCCCATGGAATTCTCCCCATTCCCATGGAATTCTCCCCCTTTCCCATGGAATTTCCCCCTGTTTTCATGGAATTCTCCCCATTCCCATGGAATTCTGCCCCGTTTCCCCCCAGACCCCGTTACCGCCGGGCGCCGGCGCCACTCCCGAGGCCGCAGCGGATCCCGGGGAGATTCCCGGGGAGATTCCCGGGGAGATTCCCGGGGAGATTCCCGGGAATCGGGGCCGGGCCCGGCGGCTCCGGGCGGGAGAATCCTGACGGTGCAGAATCCAGAGGCGCAAATCCCGGGATTAGCGCGGGCCCCGCTGGGAGGGGGCGGCGGCGCAGACGGGGCCGGGGGAGGATTTTCCTCCGGAATCATCGGGATCGGCTCCTGGGGATCCCGGGGCCGCTGGAAAACGGGAAAAGTTGGGGGGAAAAAGGGGATTTGGAGGGGGAAAAAAGCGGATTTATGGGAAAAAAATTGGATTTGTGGGAATAAAAGCCTCTGAAATGAGAATTCCCGGGTGAGGATGAGGATGACAGGGAAGAACATCCCGGAGCCGTCGATTCCCTGGGATCGTTCCCTTCCTGGAATTCCCTTTTCCCACCCCAAAGGGCCGACCCTGACCCCCCCAGTGCTCCTAAAAAGATCCGGGAAAAGCCGGGAATGCTCCGGGAAAAGCCGGGAATGCTCTGGGAAAAGCCGGGAATGCTCCAGGAAAAGCCAGGAATGCTTCGAGAAAAGCCAGGAATGCTCCGGGAAAAGTCGGGAATGTTCCTGGAAAAGCCAGGAATGCTCTGGGAAAAGCTGGGAATGCTCCTGGAAAAGTCGGGATTGCTCCAGGAAAAGTTGGGAAAAGCTGGGAATGCTCCGGGAAAAGTTGGGAAAAGCCGGGAATGCTCCGGGAAAAGCCAGGAATGCTCCTGGAAAAGCCAGGAATGCTCCAGGAAAAGCTGGGAATGCTTCGAGAAAAGCCAGGAATGCTCCGGGAAAAGTCGGGAATGTTCCTGGAAAAGCCAGGAATGCTCCAGGAAAAGCCAGGAATGCTCCAGGAAAAGTTGGGAAAAGCTGGGAACGCTCCGGGAAAAGCCGGGAATGCTCCGGGAAAAGCTGGGAATGCTCCAGGAAAAGTTAGGAAAAGCTGGGAATGCTTCGAGAAAAGCCAGGAATGCTCCGGGAAAAGTCGGGAATGTTCCTGGAAAAGCCAGGAATGCTCTGGGAAAAGCTGTGAATGCTCCTGGAAAAGTCGGGATTGCTCCAGGAAAAGTTGGGAAAAGCTGGGAATGCTCCTGGAAAAGTTGGGAAAAGCTGGGAATGCTCCAGGAAAAGTCGGGAATGCTCCAGGAAAAGTCGGGCATGTTC